AAATCAGGATCAGGCATGAAAGAATCATTCAGAATTGAACAAGTACTGTTACGTTTTAACTTGACTCAGGTAAAGAGAAAGTACTTTTTTAAAAATTCCATTCAAAATCTAAGATTGGCCATGGCGCTTCTGGTGACATGGACACTACACAACTCTGCACTAATGCTCATCAGCTGAGCATATGCTCTGTCAATATGCTGACTGGCTGACTGCTTTCCCTGCCATTACCAACACTGATCCCCCAAAACGTGATCTTGTCTGTCTATTATAAAATGAACAAAGTTATCTGGAAACAGATAAATCATGCAAAACTAGAAAACTGCATTAATATAAGGAGGCACACAAACACTCGGAGAGACACTGTCCATCCTACACGTTTGACAACACAGTGCATAACTGCATACTACAGCACTGATTGTTCTTCAGTAAAGATGACTGAAGGCCAGAGAGCAGAGCTGTGATGGACAAGCTATCAGTCCAGTGCACATCGCCAGCTATCATTCACTACATAACATGGTGAAACAAACTACTCTGTAAATCTCATCATGTAATGTCTCATACACTCCCACCTCACACACAATCTGACTAAATGTATGTTATTACCAAGCAGAGCTATTCAGAAAAGTGGTGCTTAGACCACAAGACTCAGGTGTGCATTGTATTTTGTTCTCATTGTGCTAAACAAACAAACAATGCTGTTAAAAGTGCATTAATAAAGAAATATCTATAATAAATATATACATGAAAACAAATATCATTATAAAATATAATAATAATAATAATAATAATAATAATATAAATCATAATAATAATTTATAAATGTATTTAATTCACTACATATTAAATTATTATTATTATTATTATTATAAAACTAAAATAATTAAATGTGTTAAACAAAAATAATATAAAACAAAACTACTACAACTCCTACTACAGTTTTTCTAGATTGCTTAAACACTATAACCAGGCTTTTGAACTAAAATTTCAGAGGACGTGGTGAAGGAGGAAGAAGAGGACGTGGTGAAGGAGGAGGAAGAGGAGGAAGAGGACGTGGTGGTGAAGGAGGAGGAGGAGGAGGAGGAGGAGGGCAAGGAGACAAGCAGTCTCAGATGAAATTCAAGCCACTTTAGTTGACCATGTCCTTGTCTATGGTATGACTATGAGGGAGGCTGGGCAATGAGTTCAGCCAAACTTAAGTTGCTTCACCGTCGCCTCGATCGTAAGAACCTTCAGGGAGGAAAACAGGTAGGTGTACCTCAGTGTACTCTACTGTAACTTTTGAGTGCTGTACTCTGTTACAACACATGCATCCAATTGCCTTACATACAGATAGAGTTTCTGTCTGCTTCCATTTTGTAAAAAGGATGTTACAGTTACAGTAATCAGTACATCTATTTTTGTAGGACACAGAGACGATGGAATGGAAGAAGCCTGACTAGACATTTCAGCTGATGCCAGGGATGGATCAGGCCAGAGGATTTCCCCCCCCAGCTGCCTAGCTAGGGCCAGTATAGCCTGTGATGTTGACGAGATTCTCTGGCCTGACCCAGAACAAAGATGTGATGCTGGGGCAGAATATTTTTTGTTGTTGTTTGGTGTATTGTACTGTACAGTACATTAAGGAATAAAAAATGTGCAAATGTATACACGTGTTCATTATGTGAAAAGTTCCTTGAGGGGGAGAACCACAAGCAACATAACTTATTACTGGTTTTTGTTTTTGGTTTTTGTAGTATTGTTTTGAATTGATCTCACCAGTGTGTAAGACTATGTTGTAGTGTGTGTTTTTCAGGGCTTGTGTGTGATGTCTGAGGCCAAAGTTTGGTTTTTCAGCAAGATTGGGTGAGACGTTATGGATTTGTTTTTACTGTTTTGAGAATATGAGGCATAGTTTCAAGAAATGTGTTTAAGCAATCGAGAAAAACTGTAATAGTAACTGCAATTCAAAAAATACTAAATACATTTCAATTAAATGCTTTACATAAAAAAATATAATTATGAAATAATTATAATAATAATAATAATATCAAAATATTTAATTTACTACAAATTAAAATGAAATTTCACACATGGTGCTTTTCCACTGCATGGTACGGCACGGTATGGCTCGGTACGGTTCACTTTTGGGGGGTTTTCCACTGGGTACAGTGTACCTGGTACCTGGTACTTTTTTTAGTACCACCTCGGTTGGGGTTCCAAGTGAACCGTACCGTTACCAAAACGTGACGTGTAAACTGTGCTGGT